TCTTTTATTTGTCTGGATAACATCATGACGACATGAACCGAAAGTGCATATTCTAATGACACATTCTAAGAAATGATAATTTTTTTAAAAAGGCAGTGTATCACAGCTGCCAGGCCTCTGACCATCCTGGGCAACTTTTTCTCGCCCTCTTTGGACAAGAAGATCTTTTCTTGTTTTCTTGCAGCTAAACGATAAAATTAGTTCTCTTATGTTTTTTATTGCTTCTGTTCCCATCTGAATCTCCCATCGGTGCTGTCTTCTGATATCAGAGCCGGCCACACCAGGCCACCACGGGCCTACATTCAGGTCTGGGACACACTTAGAGAGAGATCTAGACAAATTCGAGAGGAGAATTACCAGGCAGCAAGGGGGCTTGAAGCCACGGAATTGCAGAAAAGACTGAAAAAAAAGTGTGTGGGGGGGTTAATCTGGGAAAGACTGAGGGGAAGAGGTGGTCCGAGGGAGCTGGCTTTGCATTTTTGAGGGGTGGTTACGTTCAGGAGTGACTAAGGGTGTTCAGTACCCTCGAGGGGCAGAATTAGAACCTGGGGTGGAGACACGGTTTGCAGCTCTGCGGGACACACGCAAAGGTGAGGGACTGTCTCTGGGCGTCGGAGGCAGGATCCAAAGGCTGTTTGCGGAGTCAGGCCGAATGCTGTCGTTTTCAAGTCTGAGTCACTTCTCCACTGTTAAATTTCTATGTAGAACACTGCCTCCTTTTCGGCAGTTGAGTGACATCTTAAATTCTCTCACCTTTACTTTTGTTTAAAAGTGAATCCCTAACATTTCGTTAAGTTGGGAGATGGGAAAGGAGCTCCTTCCATTGTCTTCCTCTGTAGACTGTGACCTCACGACTTCATTATGAAACTACAACCACTAAGAACTTGGACTTCACGACGATTGAGAGTGAAGTGTTTTGTGATCTCATTGGAACCTTGACGTGTTTGGGGGCTGATTTTTCTTGTAGAATTTTCTGTACCGCTTAGATTCCGCAGATTTTGCCTGAGAACTTTGATTATACTGACACATATTTCTCTTTCACGCAAACTTTTAAAACTTACTTCGAGCCTTCGACATAAAGATTGTAACTTCAAAAATTTGATAATATTTATATTGTGAATGTACCAAGGGAAAAATAAACCGTTTCATCTTGAGGGCTTAATCTTAAGGACTTCTGTTTGTTCAGGTCATAATTCACTTCTCATGACCCAAATTTCTAAGCAGGAGAGTTACAGGAATAAAAATATTTTCTGTAAATTCAGTTCAAAAAAATAACAAAAGGGTGTTGGACAAGGAAGCCCGCGGCCTCCGAAAGTGTAGCTTTCAGAGTTCTTTTCATCGTTAGACCATCTCCTTTGAGAAATTTGAAGCTCATGCATTGAATGAGAACTCTGACTTTTCTAACGCGATGTTTCTATTACAAAACTGGGGTGAAAAATTGTCAAGAAATTTGGTTAAGTGAATTTAGAGTCTACGCGAATTTTAAATGAGCAAATTTGGATAAGGATCTCCATCACTGAATTAATGTAGCCTTTTAACCAAAGGGGTGAGTTTCTGGAGGCACTGGGATACCTGGCCCTCCCACCTAACCTCTCAATCAGAATTGCTCCAATAACATGAACTGGCCAACACGGCTGTTGGCATCCAGACGCGGGGAAATAACCTCCAGGCGACGTTTAACCAGCGGCGTGAGCGTGGGCCGCGTGTCTGAGGAACGCGCCCCGGCCCGTGGCCCGCGAGCCCGGGACGCAGCGCGGAGGGGACCCGGCCCCGCGCCGCCTCCTCTCAGGACTTGTACAGTTTACAAAACTCTCTGGGAGACAGTTTCTCCTCCCGCGAGGACCGGGGGGCGGGGGCGGAGCCCTGCAGCGAGCCTTCCAGCTTTTAGATGGACAGGAGCCGGCCTTGGAGCGCAGGGACTGGCTGCTGGGGAGGTTTCCCTCTCCACCCTCCA